GGCTGCAGGCTGAATGTGAAGGAAACATTTGAACTGGTGAGTGTAAGGTTGGTGAGCCACAATAAGAAAAAATAATGTGTGCAGCATTTTTGTGGATGATACAGTGAGCTCAGAAACAGGAAGCAAACTCAGGGAAGGTCATCTATTTGGACTAAAGAGGGCTGCTTTTAAAATGGTACTTTAGACACATGGCAGGAAAGGTGAAGGTGAAATGGCCAGATGAAGACTGAGGCATGTAAAAGAATGAAGGAAGAATTGGTGTGGGTGCTAGAGACAGAGAGGCGATGTGATTTTATGTAATAGGCTGTATAAGATCTGTAAATAGTTAAGTATTGAGGCTGGATACCAGAAGAGGGAAAGGTAAGGAAAAATTAGAAAGCAATTAAATGCCGTTTTGGAAGAGAAAAAAAAAAGTGACAAAATACTTCCAAATCATCGTTATGTAGTTGGAAAATAATGAAAATGCAGTGAAAAACTAGGGGCAAAACTGAAAGTTGTATTGACAGATTTATAACACCAGTGTTAGGAAATGTTCTTCAGATGCTTATTCCAAGGACACCTGCAAAAGTACAGTTAATAGTAAAGGTCAAAAAGGCCTTGTGAAAGATGAAATCAGGCTAAATTTCAGCTGTTGCTTAAATGTTCCTCCCCCTTCAGTCCAGGCAAAAAGTGGAAGTAATATGAAGGTTTGGATTTTCAGAAAGCCCTGACATACCTATATGACTTAATAAATAATTATTTAAATTATATTTAGGGTGTTTTAGTAATAAAGAATTTTGTAGCTAAGCAGCAAGCTGAAAATTAAAACCACCACTTTTTGCCGGATATCCCTCGTATGAACTTGGTACAGCATTTATATAGTGACTAGTTCTTTTGAATGTGAGCCCTGCTTGATCACTATTCTGAGATTTCCTTCAAATATATTACTATTTCTGTACCTGGATCCATGGCTTCCTCTACTTCTCACCTTTTTCTAAAGGAAGTGGTAAGGTCCAGGGTTGGAACGTGGTTTGGAGACACAGTGAGCGGGGAGGCCATGCAGCTAGCCATAATCAGGTCAAAGTACTTACAAAGTACTTTGATCCCAGAAGAATCAGAGTGCAAAGGGACAGTTTAACTGCCTGCTAGCAATAAAACAGGGAGGCAATATCTGGTTACTGTGACCTCAGAGATGGAGACACATAGGTAAGCAGACTGAGAAGTCAGAATCGCGTGCAAAGCAGCATGGGAAAGCAGCTGTAGGATTGCTGGAATATTTCTAAGCAGAGACAAGATCATCCAGACATCACTGAAAGGTTACTTGCTCTGATATGCAAGGAACCCTAATTAATAATAATGTCAACAGCTTTAAAAGCTTTACAGCAATCTGCTAGGTTGCAACAGTGAAAGGTTTGAATTGCGTGAGTGAATCCGTGCTTATGTTGAGTGTACAGGCATATGCCTGAGGCAGAGACTGCCTTGTAAACAAATATTAAACTGGATCAGTAGTATTTCCAAAATATGTCCCAGTTTTACTTCTGGAGCAGTCAGGTGGTTGAAACATCACTTCTGTGCTTTCATTGCACAGAGATGGCCTAAAAAGAGATGAAGGATTAAAACTGAACAGTTGGCAGGGTTTTGGCAAAATAGACCCAAATTTTGTCTAGGATATGACTGACAGATAAGTAGGCACAGAGGGTAGCAAAACTGATAGCTCCTTCTATGTAGATGATCCGTTCTTACCACGGAAATAGTGTTTGCCAGCAGTGCTTCAGAGGAGAGAACGCAATTAGCCTTATGTATATTCCAGGAGATTAGCATTGTGTTCATAATATATAAATTGGTATTTGATTTTATTAATAATATTGGGTATTGTCCTCTTAAAAAGATGCCCTCCTACCTTCAGTTCTGTTTCTTCCTCCTTGCTTAGAGGGCAGCTAGCAAGAGAGGAAGAGTCCCTATGTTCTACCTTTCCTTTGGTCTGATTAGGTAATTTGCTGTTCTGCCAGATTTGGCAGGAATACACCCTCTAACATCAGAACAATATGCAGAAATCCAAATAAAATTGCTGGTGTTACCTTGCGGTGTCCCCTTAAGTGAAACAAAGCACAGCACATTGTCGGGTTTTGTTTAGAGACCAGTTATATGGACAGAAAATGTTATATATGCTAGAAATCTGAGCTATTTCCAAGCATGGGGAAAATGATTTTATAAAACAAATGAATGAAAACCCCTCAGACCTCACCACTGAATCTTGTTCAGTCTATCAAGACTGAAAAAACTCCAGAATATCCTTCTGAAATAGAAGATGAAAAATGTTGGTTTTGCAAAAGCGGCTCAATTTTCTCTGGATGAGGAGTTAGTACTGTGAACAGTCAGACTTTTGAGAAGCAGTTGCAAACATCTTTCTTTTGCATATTGGACCTGAAAATCCAGGAGACGTGCAGGACACAGTGCCCCAAAAACTTACCCACCCTCTTTTCTGAGGTTTCCCTAGAAAAAAAAAGGTCCTATGATAGGTTCTACTTTTGCCTTGGAGTTGAGGCAAAAGGACTTGAAATTTTGGCACGTAACTGAGTGAATTACAGAAATGGGCAGGACTTTAAGAGGTAGCTAGCAGAGCTAATGAGAAGGCAAATACGGCTTAAGGCCACACTTCATCTGAGTTCCTGCTCACCTTCTACCTCTATTCATTCCCTGCTGGCAGACCTTGAAGCTTCTGTATTAGTGGAAAGGTGATTTCTGAAGAAGTTCTGTTCTCAGTTCTGCATCTCTCTGCCTGTAGGAGTTAAGTTCCTTCAAATATTCCCCGCAAACCCCAAATTATTCCACCACAACACCCAAAATTCTGAACCCTCCTCCCAGAGGAAGTGTGCTGATTTAGCTGCTGTGTATAGATTCAAAGCTTTCAAATTGTCCTTTTTTCTTCATTTAAACTTGCATTGTTGGAACAAATCCTCTTTTCTTGAGTCTATGAAAGCATTTTAAAAATTTTTTGTTCCTCAACCAAAGCATTACTGCTGATAAAACTAACGTATAACTAAAATACAGATTTTAAAAGTCTGTATATAGGCTTTGACTTGTCCAACTTAACTTGTTCATTCAAATTGTCTGGGTATACAAAAGCTGCATAATTAAAAATGAATGAAAGCACACAATAGACATAAGAAACCTGACAAGTAACAATAAACCTCATCAACTTAACATGCAATCATCCCGCTTAAAACCAATAAGCATGCCAAACAGGCAAGACAGGTTATGTGCAGAAGGATTTTAGATTATCTTGTTACAATGCACTAAAGCTGTAGTTCAACCAGTTTCATTTTAAAGCCAGTATTGCCACAAAGGAGGAGTCCCATGCTTATGAACTTGCTGTTGGTTTCTGCTCTCAGCGCTGGTTTCTATATCCTTCTCGACCTCCTTTCTCTGATCCTTCTTGTGCTGGGATTACTGGGTGACTGTGGGTAAGGCAGCTGAGGAGCTCATGGGCAGGGGGAGAAGCAGGAGAAAAAGCATCTGCGGGCTATTTTTCTACTCACTCAGTCCCTTGATGTTGTTTACCACACTTAACTGCAGTGTTTCCAGTGCCACCCTATACTTCAAACTAGGACAGAAGAGTTAGGCCAGGGATACATCTGAAACATGACACCCTTTCTTCCCAGTACATCCCTGTGCTGACTTCGTGGTGCTTTGTGTCTAGGCGAGAATGTTTAGCTGAAAAATGCCCTTTGTTCTTGAAGATACGGTGTGCAAATAAAACTTGAAAATGCGTATCACTTGCGGCCTCAGACCTACCAGTGAGCTTCGCCTCCAAAAAACATACCCAGCTTTCTTCTTGCATCTACTTACCATGAGTTCAGCTTTTCTTTCTGTAACTTGCATATCACAGCTAAAGAAGCCTTTTATTGGAAAAGATGAGCAGTCTCCCAGAATACAAGGAAGCAGGCTGCCACTGTTTAAAATATAGGTAGTTTGATGTACCTACCTCATAATGTAGACTTCTATTTTAAGTTAGAAAGCTGATGAGAGTCTTAAATTCTTGCATCGTAGACTTCCTAAACTTTTTCTAATCTCCATAAACATGAATGAATTTGCCCTGTTCAGTGCTTTAAGAAGTACACATTTTCTGCTTATGAGCTGCAGGTATTGATGTAGGAAGAAAATAGTAGGAACAGGATTTCCACGGATACTACTGATACACATGTGGGAATGCTCAACTGCAAGGAAATTCTAAGGCTTGGCAAGTCTTGCACTATCGTGACAACTCCTTTCTGATAGTAGCACACGTCTAACATAACATAGCTAGTTTGAGAGTATCAAGTTAGAAATGGCCACAACCGTGCATTTCTGACTGGGGAAGGTAACTCTGAATGGTGTGCTGGTTCTGTGCAGTTGCTAGAGAAATCCTCTTTTTTTTTTATGCTGACACTCTGCAGCTGCTACTGAACATCCTAGACTAGGCGATACCATGTTCAGTAACCTCTCTGCTTTGCAGTGGGGGTTGGTATGAATGCTTTCTGTCCACTGCATGTATAATCTGATTCATGGTCTTGGTTCAGAAGTAAACCTCTGAAATCTGCCTTGTAGCTGTAACCAGTAGGTCCTCTCATAACGCATTCTGTGGAACAATGACATCAACTACCGCAGTGGGAAAAGAAGTGGGATATGGGTGGGGTGAAGGTGAGTTTCATAGGTCTTGGAGCAGAAATCTTTCTGTCCCTGGAGAAATAAGTGGCTTCCTTCACTTGTACTAAGAAGCTGATAATTTATTTTTTTCTCCAACTTCTCCAGCTTTCTGTCATCACCAGTTGCAACAGTGTTCTTCTGCACACCAGAAGAGCAAAATACCTTTTTGCGTTTGAGTAGTATGCTCATAGAAAGTCATCTGTGTGATAAAGACTACAGAAATCAGAGTACAGATCAAGTCTTTGTCATGAAAGCTCTCTAACTTGTATTACAACATTACTGATTTTTCAGTCTTGCATTTCATATCCTTACCGTTTTTTGCTTGTATCCTATAGGTAAGGCACCGAACTTCAGACCAGGTAATGGCTTTGAAGATGAACACACTGAACAGCAACAGAGCAAACATGCTGAAAGAGGTTCAACTTATGAATAGACTCTCACATCCAAACATCTTAAGGTATACTGGCTTTTTTCTGAATTGTATAGAGATAGGTTGTCTTTAGTAGAGCTTTCCTATCTCCGATTTTCATTTATTTATTTTTTACTATAGCTGTATCTGTTGTAAATGTGTTAGGATCAGCTTTTAATTTAATGGAAGAAGGGGAGGAGGAAGAAGAGACTTGAGCAAATTGAAAATCCACTGATACTGATATCTAGAGTTTACCAGTAATGAGTAACTTATTTCAGAGAAAACCAAGTTTTCACATTCTAAATTTCTGATGAATCAGTAAAATGATATGAAGAGTGAAATTTGGCTTCTCCTCATGAATTTGAACTATTGCAATTTTAACACCATTCAAATAATCTATGGTTACTAATCTTGTAGATTAACAATGCAAAGTGCCATAGCTTCCTCATACTTTTAGGTCTGTTTTCTAGTTTTTAGCATTTTCCTATTGTAGTATTGCAAGACAGGATAAGAGGGACTGAAGAAAAGAAGCTAGAGTTGAACTAGTCTGATTTATCTGCTCTTGAAAGGACAAAGGTAGTTCTTGTTTTGCAATAGATTACTGGATGCAAATCCGAAGTTTCAATGTGTATCTTGGTATTTCTCGAGTCTTCTCAGTATTGGTTACTCTTCTACAATGATGTGACAAGCAATTAACATAATTAGCTGAAGCCATAACATTAAGAAGTTCAAAGGTGTGATGACAGTGCACCAAATAACTAGTTCTCCTAAACTGCTGCTGCACAGCTGGGATCCATTTTGATAGTCTCGGGCAATATAGCTCTTTCTGAAAAGTTTTAGAGACACAGTGAACTTCAAGTAACTTTATTTCCTCTTTTTCACTGGACTGTTAAATACTTCAGACATAGTACTGATTCCTTTACAACCAACTTTTCTGATCCTTGAAATCCTGTCTCGCTCTTAATCAACTGATGTGTAACAATATTATCTTGTTTGTTTCCTTCAGTATTTACGAGGAGACATATCAGAAGCATTTAGACTATCTGTAGGGAGCAGTCCATTAATTCATGCCTATTTTCTATTATTTTTTTCTTAAAATCCCCCAAAACCTGTGAACTTTGAGAATTTTTACTCACAGTAAAGTGTATTGGTTTTATCACAGTATGTTTATTCAAGTGTTGTAGTAATCTGTCCCTAATTTGTAGTGTTTTCTCTGCTCCAAGGTGAGTTAAGTTCCCAGCAACTCCTCTGGCTGTTCTGTTTGGTGTTTTTTTTTTTCTTTTTTCTTATATCTGGCTTTTTAGGTTTCAAGATCATTAATTGTTTCTTATACCTGTCCACCACTTCCTTTCCCTCAGAATCCTTAGATAAGCAGCGTATGATCCTGGGGACTGATATCTTTTTTTAGTAAGGTTTGTGGAAAAAACTTCATAGGATTGGCATTGTTAGAAACATGAAGTCAGTACACTTCATCAGTTTCTTTATCAACTTTGTGTGGTTTGTAAATCTTATTTTAAAATAACATCTAGCTTTACAGCTCTGTTCAAAATGAAGTATTCAGTTTGGGCTGGGGTGAGGGAAAGTAGGAAAGGGATAGTTTGACAGGCAACAAGCATTCAGTTGAAGTTCAATGTAACCCTGGGCCCCCCTTGAATGGAGTCACACAGGTGTTGCTGAGAACAAAACTTATTGTGCTCAGTTCTGAGTAACTGCTGAAATTTAAATGTCTATGATGTCTAAGAGATCATATTGATGATATACCAGTCCCCTCTGGCCTTAGAGCCTATGAATAATTTGAAGTCAGTGGTGTTGCACAGATGGTCCTGAAGAAAGAACAATAATGTATTGATTTATGCATGAAGCAGGAAAGGAATTCCATTTGGTCTCCCAGTTATTACACAGGATTGATAGAGGAATCTTTTCTTCTGTATGCTCAACTAAGCAGTTATGAGTGAATACATAAGAAATAAATTACATAAATAGAAACGGTTTATCTCTACATAATTTGTTTTGAAGAATAAACTATACTTGCTTTATGAATTGCTTGATTTGAGGCTTCTTCAAAGAGAATTGGTTCTCTGGTAAAAAATACTGCTTTTTTATTGTGTATTAGGTAAGTACCCTTGCTGCAGGGAGCAAGGACATTCCTACAGAAAATACAAACAAGAAAACTGCATTTAATTTTAGTTTATTCTTTTATTGAATAATAATAATGCACAGTAAAAACTATTATTTTTCTTTCTGTAGCAGATAACTTGGTAGTTATGTGTGTTAGTTATGTGTCACTTTATTTTTGGTTTAAAATCACTTGCTGTGCTGTTTCCAGTCCCTTTATATCTGGGAGAAGATTTTGCCCTTTTAAAATGTCACCTGCCTATGTGTCTATATATACCTGTATATATATACCTGTATATATACACACAGATGCATGCAAACGTCTATATTTGTTTCGGAAAACTATAAATCATTGGTGCTTCTACGAGTATTGTAAAAATTAGTTCAGGACCTATTTCCTACTTTAGAAACACAGTAAAAATAATATTTTATATTAATTTGCTTTTATAGTAAAGTGGTGAAAGGTAAAAACATCATGTTGTCAAGTAAGAGCAGCTGGAGTAGTATTGCTGAGAGGTCACTAGGAAATGC